GGTAGGGGTGGGGGAAGGGGAGGGGGTGAGGGATGTAGGGGCCAGGGGAGCAGGAAGTTCTGCCTCGAGATCGTTGTCAAAGATGTCTGCAGGATCATCCACATCACCTGGAGAGAGATTCAAACTTCATTAGAAAGGATGCATATGTAAGATCACGATTTACACATATCATCATCGCACAACCATATCGTACTTTGAAAAAGAGAAATTTCTGTGCAATTTCAAGTTTTCCCTCAACTTCAGGCAAAAAATAGCTTCCATGAAACAAAACAAAAACTTCAGCCAAGAAGACAGTTGCTCTACATGTCAAGATAAGTTCACACTCCATGATTTAGATGGTGGGCAGTAGACTTGATAGTTTCTTGAACCTATTTCTCATTTTTAACCTTCTCACTACTACCCGCTACCTACAGGGTATCCCCACAGCAAATACAAATCTGACTACCTCAGCAGTGATAAAGTTAAAGTGCGACATGCCTGTTTACAAAGTTTAACCTACCCTCCATCTCAAAGCTGATCTGTGGTGTTTCAAACTCCTCTCCCAGCAGGCTGTTGGCTGCAGCGTTGAAGAATGAAGATGGGCTCTGAGCGATACTGCACAGGCTCATCTCCCGCTCCAGGTGCCCCTGCCAGTCCTGACTCGCCAGCCACACCTGTACCACATGCCCACGCACCTGCGACAGGTGGGACAACAGGTGAGGCAACAGGTGAGACAACAAATTCAAACTCAACTTCAGCCCTTTGGGCAGGCCTGTATCCATATCATCTCAACTTTAACATGAAGAAAGTAGAAAGAAAGTTTCTACATGTATAATTGTACTATGTATCATAATATCATTACTTACATGTATATTACACACACAATTTACAGCAATACAAGTGTTGTGGGTTTGCTTCTGAGGATATGATTTACTCCTAGACCAATTTTCCAGTCACTGTAAGAAGCAAACTGGCTAAATGAAAAGGCGACTTATTGAATAGTCTGTCATAGAAGCTGATGTGTTATGTGTTGACTTTGTTAATTACGTACCTCTGTTCCGTCCAGTTCCACAGCTTGTAGCGCTGCCTTCCCATCAGAAAATGTCACGACGACCGTGTCTGCCACAAACCTGCACAGGACGGAAACAGCTGTAGGTTACCATGGTAACAAAATTTCCTCAGAAACATAGTGGGATTTTGATGTGGGAGAAACAATGGGAAGGATGGCAAACAATTCTGCTTTCTAACGACAAACTTAATTTGTCCTCCAAAAAGAAGGGGCTTCTAAAAAACAATTGTCTTTACTTATTTGCATATTAATCAAAGCCTGTGCTTATGAACCTGCCTTTCTCCTGCAAGTCTCTTGTGTCACTGACGAAAGGTAGAATGCTACCTGAAATGTCTGTCCATTTCCAAAATCATGTCCAGCTGCTTGAGTAACTGTTTTTTGGCGTAAATTTGTCCTCACCTGACCAGGACTGCTTCTCCCACAGTTGCAAAAAGGCTCAACAGGTCATTCACAAGGTCATCGTCGTAGAAGGGGTTGTCTTCTGCCTCCCAATTGGCTACAGCCACCACCACAGTGCCATCAGGGGGGCCCTGGGAGCCAATCACCTCCTTGTATACTTCTTGACGTTTGGCTTCATCGACTTTTAGCACCTGAACTTCTATGATGCCAACCACTGGCCTGAAGTAATAAAATGTAAACAATAGGAAAATTAATTAAAGTTTGTTTCTTTAACAGTGAACTGTGTTGGTGGTGTTTCAATGTTGTCATTACATGTAAAAGAAAAAATAAATGGAGAAGTTCTAAATAAGTTTGTATTTTGATCAGAAAACTACACTCATGTCTTTACTTTACTATGATTACATGCATGCAATTTTGTCTGAAGAAAGTAGCTTTATTTATTGATAGTAAGCATGAAATTGATTAAGATACATGTACATGTAGTTTTCATTTTTTTTCCACAAATTATAACTAGCTTTTCCACAGATTGTAAGGAGACCAAGAGCCTCACCGGTGGTCAGATGTTTTGATCTCGGCCCTCCCATAGTGAAGCAATGTTCCATGGTCCAGTGGTGGTGGCTCAACTCCCTCTGTATACAAACAAATAAACATCCAGGCACATTTCATAAACCTGCCAACAAACATACCAACAATTATCAACCTTATAAAACAACTGTCAAACAAACAAATATGAAATAAAAAATATCCTAACAACAACATATACAGATAGCAAATCCTGTTTACTTTGTGATGACCCATGCAGTGTATATATCAATGAATATTTATGACAATGCACAAATGCTAAATGCTACTCCAATAAAGCACATATTCATCCCATACTACAAGCTTTTGTGAGGTAGATTTGAGACAAGCCTCAAAGTCTGTTTGCTGTTATATAGCAGTACATGTAGATACCATAAATACAAGTATGTGGATTTTGACAATTGTTGTGCAATAAGATTATAAACTTGATAATCACCTGTCTTTGTCCGTGGCATTCTTCTTCTTCTCCAGAGTACGCGGTCTGTCCAGGCGGGGCAGCGACACTTTTCACTCGTATCGTAGTCATCAGAGAACAGGTCATACTTGTATGTGGGCGCAAAGTTGGTTTGGCCCTCCTGAAAGCCCTTAAAAGCCTATAGAAGGTACAAAAATACTTCATTTAATAGATTTGTACTTATAGAAGTGATTTGCTGACTTTTATAACACAAGGACCGAGACAACTGTATGTGAACAGCAGTAACAGTTGAAAATCAAATCAAGTCAACCTCAATATCAAATGACAATGGACTTGTTTTGGTTTGTTTAAAACAATATTCTTGGCACGGTTAATTTATTTATAATGAAAGATCTTGATTTGCTTGAGAGTTTAGAAATGATTAATTTTGTATAAATAACATCTCATGAACATGATGATAAATAACAGTGAGGGACTTACCTCCCCCTGCTGTTTAGTGATGTTGAGTTGGTCGAAGGTCTGCAGTTTCCCCCAGTTTTCCTCTGCAATCAGGGACTTGCACTCCTCATTGGTCAAATCAATGCGGTAGTTAAAGTCCCCGCACCAGAAAATGTAGTCATGTGACGACAGAGTCCGACCCTGATTGAAAAAAAAAACAGCTTTCTTTCATTAAGGTTTGAGAAATAGCATTACTGTAGTTATGATGACTGGACAAATTCTAGCAAGCGTAAGAATGGTAAAATGCAAACAACTGGATGAATTCTACAACAACTCCTCTTTTCACCTACCATGGGGAAAGAGAGCCCCCTAGCAATCTCCATGAAGTCTGCATTGCGCTCCTTGACTTGGGACTGCCCGGCAGCAAAGTGGGAACACACAAAACACATGGACGTCCCAAACAGCAGCATCCGGATGGCCACGGCACCTTTGTTCCCTGCTGCTCCTCCCAGGCCAGTCTTTACAATGTCTACAGCTACATCTCTGGGAAATCAAGCAGACAAATAAGTCAGCAACCAACCACAAAACAGCTCCTTTTCAAGAGAAGTCAAACATAAAATCATCTCTATGTAACTCTACTTGCTGCTCCCTATTACTTGAGTCTTCATTACGTCCACTGCCACGTCTCCATAGAAACATTTTTGTTACAATTTTTTTAACGCAGTGACCTTAAATTTAATCATATAACCTCTGACCTGAACTCATGTAAACCCTGACCCAAGAATCACAAAACCCAGTGACCTCTGACCTCACAGTGACCTCTGACCTAACCCAGTGACTGCCAAAACCCAGTGACCTCTGACATAAACCCATGACCTCTGACCTGACAAAGGGTGCGAGCTGCGGCCGGATGAAGACGTACAGACACACCCCGACCAGCTGGTCGGACGCCACCAGGATGTACTTGTGGTCGCGAGAAATCGTTTTCTGCAGCTCCGATGCCCACGCACGCTGGTTATCCGTGCTGCAGGGAAAAGCAAATCAAACCAAACTTTAGTACATGCAGTATTATTGGTGACTAGTTAATACAATGACAGTGATACTCAAGAAATCACATGTCGCTCTCTGAATATGCAGAAGCATGACAAGATGTTTATAGAAGTATCAACTATCTTATAAACATTTCTTATATAAAAATTGGGATCACTATTAGTTTGACCTTGAGGGCTTCTCCCTTATATGGGCAAAGCAATCTTTATGTGCCTGTAAACCACATATTGATTGTACCTGGCAGTCATGACGATATTCCCAGCGTTCAGTTCTACCATCTCCTCGAAGCCGATGGCGTAGATGTCAACGGGATGTTCATCTGCCACGCTCCAGTCCAACCGCCCATTACTGTCTGTACACAAACATGAATACATGTACATCATGCTGCCTGTCTTTGTCTACAGGGACTGCAAAGTACATAGCTAGGACAAACAATTCTGTGGGGCCAATTTCTGAAACTCTTCCTTCTCAAGGTTGCAGTCCTGGATCTTGACTATACATGATGATGCATTAGTTGATCTCTTTTAAACTAAGTTTACTGTTTTTTTAAAATGTGGCAGTCCTCAGCAACCCAGTGAATGATGAGAGTTGACATTACTACATCATACAGGTCTATAACATACCTGCGAAGCTGCACTCTGGCTTGAGTTTGGGGTTATCCAGGAGCCAGTCCGTCATGGACTGATGTTTGTACGCGATGCTGCGGAAGTGTTTCCCACCGTTCACGTTCCAGGTTCCCACGCAGACGCGCACCGTCTCCGGGACTGTGTAGTCCTCGTGCCGCTCCACCATCGACATCAGCACACTGGGGGAGGCTGGGAGGGAAAACTTCATGTCAAATGTGTTGAACTACAAACTCTTATAGCCTGGATGCCAGACCCACAGCACACTAAGCTCAAAGCACACTGGATAACTTTGGGCCTAGTGCGCTGTGGGTCTGGCATGCAGGCTAAAACTATTACAGAATTGATTTTTCTACAATAGACTTCCTAGACTAAAAGCCTCATTGCAAAGCAGGGCTTATACCTAAAAGAAAAACTGATAAATAGCTATGTAAACAAAATGTAATTTGCCTGAAATAAACTAAGCATACTGAGAACTGCATTATGGGCAAAAGCCAGGCACAGCATGCATCAATGAGGCCACACAGGCTTGATTATAAGAATAATGTCCAATGAGAGCTCAAAGAAATCAAACTTTGTTACTTATCAAACTGTGAATAAAGATTTGGCAAAAACAAGGAAAACTGATTTTTTAATTTCTTGCACCAGATTTGGGGTTTTCAGAGGACATCATCCATAAAATCAATTTTGTTTGGCCTGAAGAACAGAAATCCCAGCATGCAGTGCAAGAGGCTACCTTGAACCAACACCTCCAAGCGGGAAAAAGTTTGACCTTGAGCTCTTCTCCCTTATACCGGCAAAACAAAGTCATGAAGGGAAAAACAGAGGCATTATGGGAATAACACCTCTGCAAGGTTAGCAGAAAACCCAGTCAGGAAGCAATAAATATAAAATAAGACAGAAATCATAAAGCAAGAAAATAAAATGGCAACAAGAGGCACAGGTTTGTAAATGGTGGCAGTGGACAATTAATCGAAAGTGAATACTTAGCTTTAGGATAATTGACTCTAAGGGGAATTGAACTTCCTAAATTTCTAAATTCAAGGTGACCAATGCCTTGTGCAATGAGTTGACAAGAAAAATAGAGGCAAACTGTAAGGAAGACAGGCACAAACCCTTCAAGACATTTACGTAAAACTTAACGCTTGCAGGACTCACAGTGGAGGTTGTTTGTTGCCAGTAGGACACGAGCACGGTCGGCCAGTTCGCTGTTTAACGTGTTTCCCAGCAGGAGGATGTCAATTGCTTCCTGTTTGGTGCCGTCGAAGAAATTGTTCTGGATGGTACGTGATACGGAGCGGGCACCGTCCGCCAGCTTACCAACCTGTTTAGGAGAACATCAATGTATTTATCTAGCAAAACATAATCTTATTGTCCCAGAAGGGTGATCTTAATTCTTGAAAGACAAAAGGACATCTGTAGTACAGTAGAAATACATAGCACATCTTTGTCATGCATGATGTGGTAACGACTTCATTTAAGTTGTCCCGAGTATGCAAATGAGTATTTAATAGTATGTCACATTATTTCGCTCATTGCATACAGACACTGGGAGCCATACATTACTTCACAGAGACATGTCATACATTGATACGACATAGTCTTTTCTCCTGTAATGTTACATGTTACTCATTTGCATTCTCGGGACAACTTAAATGAAGCTGTAACCCATGATGCTACAGCCACCATATGAGAATAATGAAAATATAACCACCAAGAATATTTCAAGATCAACAGTTAACGCCTGCAGTTTTCCTTTAAACAATGGACTAGAGCAGAAAGGAGGAACCCGTCACCTTGGACTGCCCTAACGCTCCTGTACCAGCGTAAATCTTACTGACGTGGTCTCCGTTCTGCTGCCACATGTTCTTGTACAGCTCCATGCACCGGGAGACCAGCTGGGGTTTACTGTTCAACCCCAGGCACTCCAGCTGTTTGGGCAGGGTCTGGAAAAAACACTCTGGTGAGAGACCATCCTGATAGACACAGTATGGAGAGGAACAACAGGAAAAGATACAAAACAGAACTGCATCTGGGATCTGCAGTTCAGCCCCTGTTGCTTAAGGTGCTAGGTGTAAAAATACTAGTACACTCTGGTAAGGACCCAACGAAGGAAATTTAAGGAAAAGCATTAGAGGAACAGCAAAGAAAAAACACTCTACAGCCCTAAGTACTTCCTTACCTCCAGGCCCAGGAAGGCCTGTACAGAGTTGGTTCTGTCCAGACAGTCCAGGCAGTTGGTACGGACTGTTCCCGACTGTTGCCTGCATGGGAAAGATTCATTATGTTAGGATATAGTGGGGTGTGCGTGCGTGCGTGTGTGTGTGTCTGTGTGTGTGTGTGTGGAAGGTATTGCAAAGAACTTAATAGCCAGTGGATTAAGCAGCTACTATATGCAAAATGTACAGTGATGTATCCAGGGACTTAATGCAGGCAAATAACATATGTTAAAAACAGACAGGATGTACATGCACTACTACTCACATCATGATGTCAGAGCCATGGCAGTAGAAGAAGGAGAACCGCGCCAGACTTTCCGCCAACTTTCGCTTCAGCCTGTGCACCAGGTTGTCTGTGCGTCCCCCGCGGCACTCCTGATGGTAGTCAAACACCACATGGGGAACGTCCTGCCAGTGGTGGGAGTTCTTGTGGTGACTCTGGAAGTAGGGAAAAATTCTGAGTTTTCCACAAGGATTATAGCTCAGCAAATGGAAATAATCACCATTTTAAGAGGTTTCGCAAAACCAAATAAAAGTGTGTTTACTGGGCAGGTTCCTCTTGCTAGGAACACATAAACTGATTCAGCTGATGTAACAATACAGTATATTGACTCTGATACTGTGCATAACAGAATGACCTCTAGTATCTCGAGGGGGCAAGTGCAAATGTGTGCCAGTACAGATTGGCAGGAGAACTAACAAAGTGTGTCATTCTGGCTTTATGTATGAGAAAATCAAGTGTGAGTTTTGTTTTGGTGATTTTGGTGAGTGTCCTGTGAATTCCCATCAGCTTCAGAAGATACATTTCAGAACATATTTCAATAAACATAAGAAACTGACCACAAACTGTCTGCTCAGCATAGCTTCCCCCTCCTTGTTACCCAGTAGATTCACCACCATCTGGTCTCCATACTTCTCCTTCAGAGTGTCAAAATGTCTAGGGATCAAGCACACATGGGTGAGGTCTTTAGAACAAACAAGAGACAACTTTCAACTATAATATAACTAATCATGGGTACAATATATATACATTGTATATAGTTCAATCTTGTACATATCATATTAATGATAATCAGTGGGTGATACGTACACATAACTTAAACACATGCTTTGCTTTACTCTATGTCATGGCATATACATTTTTTTTGTAACAACATATCTAGTTATCTAATCACTGACTTGAAGGATTAGCCTAAAATTCTATTGTTAGATTCTATCTTTAGCTTGTCCACCAGGCTGTCCACCTGTGTAACTCACCTGTCGAAGGCGGGTGCAGAGGCCTCGTACCCCCGTGACATGCGCACCTTGTGAGACCCCACCTGGATACCTGGCTGTTCCCAGAACAGTGGGACTGACCCTCGTGTCTGGATGAACGATGTCACTCTGTCTTCTAGAAAAATCACCTGCAAAGAGGGGAGTACAGAATCACATTGCATATAGGCAGGTACCTTCATCAAAATTTTACAGATACAAACAAAAGGTGATATACAAGCTAGACGCTTTCCAAATCAGAGCTTGAAGTGCATTGTACATTCAGCTTTGTGATACAGAATCATTGACACAGGCAAGTTGAAGCTTTCCAAAAAGCAACCATGAATGAAGCTTTGTAATCTTTGGTTAATTCGTAATTAAGCGTATCGTTCAAGGTTTGGACATGTGTTAAAGGTTTGAATAGGGCAAAAAGAATGCATTCAGTTCAGTTGTATAAGTTTGACTTTCTCCTAGATGAATACTCTAGACTAGCAATAGTAGCATCTTGCTCCTTGCCACAACATGTAAGACATTCAACTTAGCCCATTATCTGAGTGAAACCTATAAAAGCACTTGTATGATACCTGTTCTGTTTCCACGAAGTTTGCCACGTGACCGTCGTCGTTGGTGCCTCGTACGTAGAACCGTGTGCCGGCACGCTCGCAGCTCAGGCGTGAGAACAGGCAGGCCTTGGCCTGTTTGTTCCCAACGTAGATGGTGCGAATCTCCACCCCTCCGCACATGGCCTTCAGCAGCCAATCAGAGCAGTCGATGTTGAACCTCTGCAGGTGGAGGTGCAGCATGCGATTCCTGCAAGTCAATCAATCAATCAATCAATCAAACAAACATTCAATCAATCAATCAATCAATCAAGCTATTATACATGTCCTCAATCAATAATTAGATCCCACTACCCATGACCTTAAGCTGCCAATCAGAAAAGTTGACATTAAACCTCTGCAAGTACATGTACTAGTAGGAAAAAAAAGACTGACCGAATACACATTACAAACTGCATTTGTACTAAGTAATTGTATGGTATATATAGAAAATAAACCATATATACAGTCTCATGTCAATGCCTCTTAGTCCTACTCACCAAAAAAATCTGTTGTCTGTTTCTTGGCTCTGTAGGACCCTCTGAGAACACAGGCTGAGATCAAATGCCGAGTCTGTCGCCGACCACGCAAAATAGAACGTTCCAGAATTTAACAAGTTCCGTACGTGAATGATTCTTTCCTCGTCAGTCGGGTTGTTCCGTAGCGACACGAACGCCGTGTTAGTGATGCGGAAAACTTCGGACGTGTTGATCTTACCTACAGAAACGCACCCTGTCACCACAACCAGGTAGTGCATCATACGGTCTCCTGAAGGACAGAAAACAATCCAGACACCTGTCAATCTACAAACCAATCAATCATCTTTATCCAACCTTTCAGTTCAGTTCAATTACCGGTATTCCTTTTTTCATCTAACCTTTGTATTCTAGAAAATGTGGCATGTATTGACTTGATTTGGCCCCACACATACACTCTCGTTGGCCCATCCAGCTCAAAGATGACCTCAGCTGGTAACGAGTCTAACGACCTGAGTGACCTTCATGCCTGGAATCAGGGACGTTCAGTAAATCTACAGGAATGGGCTTTGGGGATTGGTAAATACATGTATTTTGATTGAGTGAATTGCCTCAAAAGCCCTTTATGGCATGATATACCCTAATTGGCTAAGTACAGGTCGTTGTATGTCTGACAGTTACACAACACAAATATGTGTAGGATGTAACAAGAAATTCCTGGGGATTACCCACACTGATGATAAGATATTGAAATGCTAACTGTAAAGCCTTTATTCTCAATGAATAGTTAATACAACCAGAGTTTGGGCATACATGTACTGTTAGTGTTTCAGATATATCAAATCATTATAGCTTTATAGCCTGTACAATTTGACTGACTAAATGCTAACAAGTATGAATCCTCTAAGTGTAAAACATCATAATTCATCAACCATGATTATAAATATACGCACATATATGTATATCTAAATGACCTCATGTGATACCTTAATACATCCATTTGCATGTCTAACCAACTAATTCAGGGGGTTCAGCTATCCCTGTCAAACCATCCCATCATTGATAGACAGGAAAGGTTTTATGTGTGCTGAACATGAGAGGGAATCAATACAGGTCAGTTTGGCCCACCTGGGGCTCAACCCTCAGCCGAGCTGTGCATGATAACATTTAATAACCCATGCAATATGTCTCCTGGTGTATCATTACCTGTTCAAATGTAACAAGACATCTTTATTTCTTGGCATGATCAGTAGGAATGTCATATTTTAGTACTCATAAGAAAAAAAATTAAATCTTGTTCTTCATAGTGGGGTGGTGTGGCGTAATTAATGGCTTGGAACCAAGAGGTCTCAGGTTCGAATCCAGACTACTGTCACCAACCTTGTGCCCTTAGGAAAGGTACTTAACATGACTTTCCTCACTTTACTCAGGTGTTAAAGAGTATGAAAGAATGATCATTATCATGATTATGGGCATTCAAAGAAAAAAAAAACATTTCTTTTTTAAGAATCTACAATATAGACATCAGAGAGAAACAACAAAGTTGTGACACCTTTCATGACCTATATACTGTATAGACAATATACAGAAATGTTGAATTTTAGTCACTGTGACTGTTTGCTAAGTGTGGCTTTGCCTGTTTGTTTACCTACCGATGTTTAACATGAGCACACCCAGACAGCCGTAGGCATCCAGAAGTTTCTGGTACGTCGGCTTGATGGTCTCCTTCTCCTCGAAAGCTGTTCAAGCAAGGTCAAAATCATATCATCAGGTAATAATATCACTGTGGTCCAGGAATGGGGTTGTTAATCACTATATCATACACTGTACCTTTAACATGGATCAATTGTAATTATTTGCATGATAATCAAATTTGCACAGCCATAACTTTATGTAAATATTTATTACATTCGAAGCTGGATCAATAACACAATATTCATGCAATTGATACTGTGAGTGTCGGTATAAGAGATGAAACTATTTTATTTGCTAGTGTATGAATCTATGAAATTTCAAATCCATTCCTTGAAATTTGATGACAATCAAATGGAGCCCGGAAAAGAGATAAAACTTTGCGCTACAGACCAGTGGCTCATATCAACTGATAGCAGGCAAGGAATAGACGTCAAATATATGTATAAAGCCTGAGGGGAGGTGTCTAAACGACAAGTGTTTGCTAAAACCGGGCACGTAAATTTGGGACGTCCCGACTAAGGTCTACGGTCATATATCGGGTGGGAGGGGCCTGGCATATCCGGGCATTTTCCACGCTCTAATTTCACCAAATGGGGACTAGATGGCGTCTAGATCTACTCACAGAGGACGGCCACGGCTCCGGACTCGAACATGAGACATTCTTCCCTGTTCCTGGCCTCCAGCAGGACGGAATACGGCGTCTCCGGCTTGTGGAAGACTCGGTAACTCCGACTCAGCGCCATTTTGAATGGCGATGGCAAGACACGCAACTATTGTTGGCGTCGAAATTTTCCGCTCAGACGAACAGAAAGGAGTAACATTCACTAGAATGCACTAAAAAGATGATTAAATGTCACATTCTCTGGAGATTGTCTTTTTTATTGTGACACGATGAGGTATTTGACAAAAAGGACACACGTATTTTGTTTGCGTTTGCCCGCTTTCATTTGGGGTCAGTGACCTTCACACCTTGTCAGGTCTTTTCAGATCAGGTGAATCGTTTTGTGCAGCCCTCATTGTAAAGCCCCAAAGGAGTACCTCTTCTTGGGGCATTTTCAAAATGCCGGTAGACGGAATATTCCAGACGTTTCTCTATTGAGAAGGAAGCATTAACGTTACATATACAGCCAAGCTGGTGAAAGACCTGTGGAATATTCCACTGAGAATTGTTTTTGTCTAGAGGGATTGGGAATGTTCTTCAAAATACAGTAGGGGTGGGATTCCCATCTATAAACCTCATCACATGCCATAGTCTGTGTGACAGTGGTGGTTTACATAGACTAGCCCAGCATATTTTTCAATGCCACACATAATTTGTGGTTGTTACACACCATAGGAAGGGCCCTGTCCTTGGTGCTGAAAACTTATCACTTGTCATTGATGTAACTCTGAATGTGTCTATGCAGTCAAACCTGTACATGTGACATCCTTTACACAAGGACCATCTGACCAGTTGGACCTGCCTATACTGACCACTGGCTTGAGTGGTCTTCTTGCACAATGTGGACTGTATCTGTTATAACCACTCCTCTGCATCACACATCATTTATGATGGTTCTCAGCATTACAACCGCTTAGTTTTCACCTAGATGAGTCACAATAAAAAGACCAAGGCCCAACAAATGCATGTACTTTTATTTTGCAAACTCATGCCATCAGAAAAAGCAGGCTATGCGGTTGATTCCTTTGGGGGGGGGGGACCTCCAGTGTGTTATTGGGTACTGAAGTGAAGGAGTTACTTGTTGCCTATGGAAACAGTTCTTTCTTTATTCATCATCTTCAACTGATCAGTGACACCTACAAACACACCAATATGAGAATTTCTATTCGTCAGTGCTGTTGCTAGGAAACTACCAGGGGAACTGGTCATCCAATCAGTGCCACCGCCATCCCCAGCCCCAGCCGCGCCGACCCCAGCCCAGAAGACTCCCAGCATGCCCCAGGCACATGCCGATCAGTGCCAGCTCGACCAGGTGGATGTATGCTCCCTTGCGTCGCTTGTCTGGATCTGTAAACAACAGGGACAAACAATAGCAAACAAATAATGTTGGCATAACCTTCAGATGGAAGTGCGCTGTATTGCATTGCTTGTCTGGGTCTGTAAACAACAATAACACAACCCTCCTGAAGGTGAAAGTATGTACCCAAGTGTTGTTTTTCAAAGCTATACAAACAATGAAAAAAATGGTCATTTTTAATGATTTTGGAAACATAGAATCGGCGACAAGTGCTCAAAGTCAAATATCCCTATAGTCTGCTCAAATTATGACAGAATTGAAGACATAGAAATAAAGATATAGACCACAGTTCTTTGTGCTTCCTTAGACAGACTTGATGACTTAACATATAGTGACCTACCCCCAGTATAGTAGCCATGTGCATAGTGAATCCTCCCCATGCACCAGACAACTCCGGCAGCAGAGGCTCCTCTCTGGGCAGAACATAAAATGGAAAAATTCATAGTTGTTGAGACATGAACATTTGACTGTCAATTCATACCAAATTCATTCCAATCGGAATGGCTGAGACTCATTGGTAACCCACTACTTAAAAGTCTCAATACCTTCTGCACAATAGTGATTCCATCCTAGCCTCCACTGCCCTCTCTAGTAGTGCTATTTCATTAATCATTAATGTGCTCCTGTAGAAGTGTTCATCTTTCCACGTATTGCAAAACTAGGCGTTGTAATGATCAAGAGTGAGTGTTTATTACCACACTTATTTCACTTACCGGATACTTCATCCCAGCCAGGAGCAGGAGAACCAAGAAAGATGGGTAACACTCAAGCCTGGGGAACACAGAAGGGTATAAATGTCAAACCTGTAGCAAAGGACTAGTTTTCTTCTATGGTCCCTTAGATAGAATCCTGTCCATTTTGTTTCATTTTTATGTCCATACCGAACATCTGTCCATATTTCCAGAGGGACTTCCTTGACAGTTTAATTGCACAAAGAAGAAACATGAAAGCTCTGTAGCAAAGGTAGCTTGCAGGAGGAGGGAGTTGACACTTACGCATTCTGGTGGGCCCTCTGAATGCAGTTGTAGACATGCTCAGTGTCACTGTACATGATCGGAGGCTTTGGGAGGACAAAATGAACAAAACTGAGAATATAGGTGACACTAGCCAGCTCTACGTGTTCAAGTACCGTATATTTCCAAGGTTATAACCTCCTTGCTTAAAAAACCGTTTAATTGATTGCTATCTAATTCTGCTGTTTGCGATCGGCGTTTCAACGGCTAATGAAATTCTAGATTTCAAAAATTTTTATTAGTATGCAAAGTTTCGTTCATCTAAAACTGTTAACGTTAATGTTACATGTTATAACGTGGGCAACTGTCCATCCTAAAAATGGCCTCTAACAGTTATATATCTTATATAACGTTAGATATATAAAATCAACTGTGAGTAAAACGTAATCTGCAGACGACGTCGACGCTAACACGTCGCCCATGGCCAGTGCTATGCCGGTTAGTAAAAACACCGTGTGGGGTGACCCGTGTTGCGTAGCGGCAGAGTGCTCGACTCGGAATCAAGAGGTCCGGGTTTGAGTCCTGACATGCCACCGATCTTGTGCCCTTGGGAAAGGCACTTTACACGACTTCAGGTTAAAATGAGTACTAGTATTGTACTGTCCCGTGTTGGTGGCGGCATTAATATAAGTTTAAAAAAACTTGTGTGTGCCGTCACCACGACTTGTGATTTAATAGATGTTGGAATATTAAAAACAACAACATCCTTGACCTGACCTGGACGTTGTACTTCTTCCTGGCCTTGCTGACGTTGACCGCCAGGTACATGAGGGTCCCCCATGAGCCGAGCACCGTCAGGATGACGTACCCGAACTCACGCGGCACAGACACTCCGCCCATCGGGAGGATCAGGCGACTTAAGCCGTATCTTAGCAGGAAAACAGCTAAAAAGCACAAAACACCAGCTGAACAACAAGGACGGCAGGCGAGCAAGGACAGTGTCAGGTGAAGCAGTGGACGATACCATCATGGGGGTTGGAGGGAAGTTTTTTCTTGTAAAGAAAGTAATATCAGGTCTATCTGTTTAGTGTAAATAAACATGATCAATACTGAATGATGCGACACTGAAATAACCGTATCTTTCGATGTTGTGAGTCAAGAGCCAGATAGAAACGATATGTATACAGACACCCCTGTAGAAGCAGTGGAGAGTGCCAATGGTCTTTGACCCCTAACCGCACTTGATCTTGAGTTTGCTATACTCTCAATGCAGAAATTAACGTTATGGTTGGCTTGTTGAAGTATCATTTCCTGGAAAGCAATAAAATTTAGTTTTTGAGGAAACTAGAGGTGAAGAAGTGAATCTTAAATGACGGGTTGAACATTTCTTCTCACTATGGACAACTGGAAAGATAATGCACACTTGCAATGAATATGTGATAATAACATTTTATTAAATGAAGTCACTAATTTTACATGTTTCTGGCACACTACTTTGACCACTATATCTTGTATATACTGTTGTAATACTAACTTAAATGTAATGTTTTGTTTTTAACATTTTTAAGCAGAATAGCTTCATTCTTTCCTCCATTCAATACTCTTGACACATGATATTCCTCCTTGCATTTTTAACAATCCTTAAACTGGTGAAAATAAAACATTAATTTTTTACTTTTTCAATATCTGAAAATAAGAAAATGCTGCACATACGTTGCACTTTGTTCAATCATAACAGATTAAGTAACATGAGATGTTCATAGTGACATGTATTGTACTACAAGACAACAGTTACAAAATAGACACATGTCAAAACATAGCTACACCCTTCAAGTACACCATATAAACAGCTGTTACATTCACAGGATTCTGCATTTCTGATAGTTCTTACATCTTTTTCATCAACAGAAATAGGTATAGTAAAATCATGTCCAAAAGCTGCTCTAGTCTTACACATTGTCTCTTATGAATAAAATTATCACACAACTGTACATTCAGCATTTCAGGTAACCAGTATCAAAAATTTCCAAGTGTCCAACTTTCATGGTTCAAAATCCCAAGGAATAACATACTAGTAGCTCTAATCACATGGCAACAACGTATTTGTATTACAAAGTACATGTGGATTTCATTACCTTTCAGCATGCTACACTTACAAAAACTACTGACCTCTCACCAAGCATTATGACGCTTCTTTTCTCTCAGGTTTTGGTGAGGGTTTGGATGCTGTGACGTTCCTGTATCCTACAGTTGCATTGAACACTTTGTTACTAATCACTGTGACTATGGTGAAGAGTCTGAGAGGATAGTTTAACTGCTGTGCCGGGGGCTTTGCCTCGTTCCCACCAATTATAAAGAGCGGGAAGAGAATGGAGAAGACACATCCGCTGATGAGGAAGGAGGATGGTAAGGACGTCAGCAGGGCGAGGGGAAGTCCGAACCCCAGGAAGTACAGCCAGTTGTTCTCAACATACGTGACACGTTTCTGCACCTCCCACCCCATGTTGAACCACTTGTACTCGAAGGAGTACAGTGAGCACAGGAGAGACAAGTGTACAAAACTGGCAGCCTGGCCGACGCCGGCGATGGGGATCAGCTTGACCACTTCGGTCTGGATCAGGAACAGAGACTGCATCAGGACACTGAAGAGGAGATCTGCGATCATCTTACTTAGGCTGATCTTCCTGGCGTAGACCGGCCGACCGTGGGACTTGCGGTACGCGGCATCAGCGATGTCCTGGAACCAGAGACTGTTCACCACCTTGCTGAGTAAGAACAGCGGGACGATCCACAGTGGATAGATGATGGCCGACAGGAAAAACGTGATCCACGTCCAAACCAGCCCGTGGGTGGGAGAACCACTGAAAATGTTCTCGGTGATGAAGCGCAGCGCTGGTAGGACCGCCTCCCAGAAGATGAGGATGCTGAGCCAGAAGACGCCGGCGTTCCAGCTGCAGCACAGCACGATGCGGTGCAGGATGCGCGGCCGGTCCTGTCGGACGACTTCCGGCATCCGTTGGGCGCGACGTTTGGCGAGAATGGTCTGCTGCTGGTGCTGAAGCTCCTCCCGCCTTCGCTTCTCCAGTTCCACCGCTGCCTGGTCCACCTGTACATGTACAGAAAATAAGTCAAATTGAAATTAATTCTGAAGCTTAAAGGCATGTACTGGATTTTCTGGTTATTCTAAGTTGATATTGTTTGTTCTGCTGCCCTGAAATTGCATTGTATGCCTTTAAGGTCTTAAACCGATCTGGTGATCGCTGGTATCAGACTAATCTACCAGTAATCAACACAGATCAACCAATGAGGAAGAAAGACTGACCCTGTAGGCCATGAAGACTCCAGCTCCTGCATCTTTAAGTCCCTGCAGCAACAAGGCTGCCATAGCCTGGAAACTGTCCGCCATGGAGGCTCCTCAGACTGGGCAGTAGACTGGGACTGGCAGGCAGCTTAGGCTCTGTTGTATAGCACAATGTTAATTATTTCCTGCAATGGAAAAAAAACAACATTATTCCACTTCACTGTATCTACCACTATGAATATCTTGTCTTATGTGCAAATATTATCACAATGCAACATTAATCTAAATTACATAGTATCATTCATCAATGACAACTTGTATACATGTAACTTACTCTCTCTACATGATCCATATTTAGTCTGCAAATAATGCTAGTTAGCTTTGCATCCTCCCTGACAATCTCATCACAGCAAACTCAATCTATTCATTTTATATTGTTACATTTCCCACTGGGATGTGCCATATGGTAAGTATGACTTATATTCATCCTGTGCAAATTAGTACTGTACATTCAATTATTTTTGCAGCAACAGAGGACGATGGTGTTCACAGTGTTTTCATTTGTACTTGAATGAAACAACTCTATAGTACAGTTGCTTTAATTGTGATTCGTCATAAATTCACTACGGAAAGGTCAATATGCAACTGCAAAAATACTGTAATTCCTGATTTGTTCACTGTACTGATAAGTTCACTGTTTTCACTGTCTCTTGTGTACAGTGAACTTATCATTACAGTTAACAAATAATTCTGGACTTTCTTTTTCCTGCACTTGTCACCACCGTGAACATATAGTTACGTAAACATGTCCATTTTTCTCAGACCGTGAAATTTTGCTACCGTGAACATAAAGTGAATTACAGTAACCCTCGCAAACATTTCTAGATCTACAGTAGCTTACATTTCTGCATATACGTAAATTGCAAATTACCTGAAGGCTAATTTCAGGACTATTTTTTTAAATTCAATTCAATTCAATTCAATGTTAGTATCATAAAGGGTGATACATATATTTATTCAATTAGACTATCAATTTAATAACACATCTATTCCGTCGAATGGTGCCATATGGTAAGGTACAATCTAGCCCTCCCTATGGACATTTGCGACTGTGCTACAAAAACCAACTTGCAAAAACGTATTATCAAAGACAAAGAGGAAAATATAATAATACTCTGTAAACAACCCCCCTCCCCACCCTTCTTTCACAGGCCTTCTCAGATTTATGCAAATAGAAAACAACATACTAGTAATGCAACGGCTGCCCAACATCTGGATCTTGCTGACAGAAGCGGGGCAATGAATACAGCTTGTGTACGTGATTCACATTAATATCATAACGCTACGTTTCATCTCAGCATAACGACACTCCACCGCAAATCTGGAGCTGCAAAATTATCTGACGAAAACAAAAATATTACGCAACCACTTCGGACGATTTTCAGATACGTCCATCAGGCTCGGTCCCACATCTAGCCAAAATCTTACACATCTTGCAATTCATCAGCAGCGATTCATAATGTTTGAAAACCCACCTTGATTGATCCAAGTTCAGGGTCTCTATGATCCTTCCGTGTCCGTCTACATCGGATGCAACGACAGACGGAAGTGACGTCGTCGGGTTATCTGCGGTCGAGTAGAGCGCTCCCTAGTAACACTAACCTGAAGTGCACTCGGGAATCATTCACTGCGATTGTTTCCTTCGCATGGGAAGTTACAGTTTTGTTTCTTTCTTTTCAACCGTGTTTGTCACTTTTTGGTCACGTCCTGTTGGTAAACGTGGCGAGACCAAAACATAAAGTTCACTCCCGTGAATCACAGTGTCCCGGTCCCGTGAGTAGGTTAAAGGTCACGATAACGTTTAGAAAACGAAACTTCCTCAGTTCCTCGGGGCTGGAAGTGGGACCCTCGCTATTTAAATTTTAGGCCATATTGAAGCTCATGAGAACAGTGCGATTCCGAAATCAACCACCAGTTCGTGATCCAATTCGTGAAACCGTTTTTCAGTTCTGACGTCATTCCTGTTGAAGGGACGACATGGCTACTGGGACCTCAGCTTTCCTCAGCCAAATTTCGGACGACTTTCTGCAGTGCAAGATCTGCCTAGAGCCTTACCGCCGGCCCAAGGTGCTGTCCTGTCTCCATACGTTCTGTCAGGAGTGTCTTGAGCAGCTGCACAAGCGACAGGGTGAGCCACAACACCTGGAGTGTCCAACATGTCGCGACAAGACGGAACTTCCGGGTTCTGGAGTCAGCGCGCTGAAGGACAACTTCTTCGTCGAAAGTCTCAAAGATGCAGTGAAGCTCCACAAGACGGTGAGCGAAACGGAAGGAGAGAGGGCTGTGTGCGGTCTGTGTGAGTCGGGGGAGGAGCCGGTAAAGTCGTACTGTGTGGAATGTAAGGAGCTTCTGTGTGAGAGGTGCATCACTATGCACGCTCGAATCACTTCTAAGGCACTGAACTTCGGGCATCAACTCATGACCGTGGACCAGGTCCGTTCAGGAACAGATCTGAAAGCGGTCAAGCCTCGCACCCAGCCGTGTAAGCTACACTCAGATGAGGCCTTGAAGTTCTGCTGTGAGACCTGTGGGGAGGCTGTGTGTAGAGACTGTATCATGGTGGAGCACAAAGATCACTCCTACACCCATCTCGCCAAAGCCGCTGGCGGCATCAAAGAACAGCTATCTGCAGCGCTCGACGAGGCCGACAAGAGACTGAACGAGCTCAAAGACAGGCAAAACGAAATTCTTGGTAAGAAGTCCCTACTGAAAGACATCGTGACACAAGTCGAAGCCAACATAAACGAAGCGGCAGAGCAGACCCGCCAGCGACTGGTGAATCAGGTCAATGCGGAGCAAACGGACCTGTTGCAGCATGTAGAAGACATTAAAAAACAAACCGAGAAACAGTTTTGCACCGTCGAAGACGCCGTGGAGACAGCTATCGCCAGCGATTTCGGCCGCAACGTCGTCGTCCATGGTACTGATCTGGACATCATCGGTGTGAAGACAGAAGTTCAGTCCCGGCTCCAGAATCTGCTGAAGCTGACTCCAGACGGGATACGCGCCCCTGAGGGCGAGCCGTGGGTTCGCTTTGTAGGCAACGGTGCTAAAACAGACCACCTTGTTCTGCTTGGGGAAGTACCTGAAGGTATGTTTTGACTAGACTGCAATATGAGGATCATATCTTGAAAACTTGCCATCAAAACGGCATACATTTCGAGTTAATTCCGAATGAGTGAATCACTTTGACCTGTCTCATTTCCAAACTAGAGTGGCCTCAAATAATGCCACAATATAGTGTCGTCTGAAACTGAATGTCTGAAACTGAAAGTCAAACTAAATGACTTTGACTTTATTCGGATCCACAATTAGCGTACAATGCAAAAGTAAAACCAATGTCATTACCACACCTGGCAGGCTTAGTACGTACTTCATACATGAACTTTGGTTTTTGTTAAGATTGACGGAAGATGCCTTCTTTTTATAACAGAGCTGTGACCACGCTAATCATATCTTCTTAAGATTTTAGCGCGACGTTCACCACTTTGGGCACAACGGGTCGTCTCGGGCCAACAGACCTGGGGCAACACTACAGCAGACAGGATCATGAGGGACTGGTGACACTGCAGGACGGGATTCAACTCTTCACAGTCAAGCACACCGGCACGTATAAGGTCGAAGCAGCAGGTACGGAATCTATTTGGAAATAATATTTCGGTTACGGTACTAGAATTCCTTGAATTATAACTGCTACGCATGCACGTCCAGCTGCGTCTGACTGGCGCGCCAAGCCACAAGCTAAATATCGAACTGGTTTTGTAACAGGAGCTGCTGCAGGATGGGGAGAGAAAACACCGAAATCAACTCGTGGAAGAGGTGCTGTGATGAAAGGAACTTTTCAATTTGAAAAGGGTAAGTGCCATGGTACAGTATATGGGATCGGATATAGGCCCAGAGCACGTTTTGATTCTGAGCTGCCAAGCACTTATGGAAAAGCGATGATTTTGGCAAGGAAATTTGCTGAGTTTTAATCATTTCTGTTGCCACCTTTCTAATTACCCTTAACACTGTGACAATGCCTTTTCCCCTAGCTGTAATTCACCTGGTTTTCTGCAGATAGCAATTATTTTTGGCAATGAAACAGCCTCTTATTACAGTCTTTTGCTTGTTTCTCCCTGTAGGTAATGTGCTGAAGATCCTAGTCGGACAGGAAGGCGTGCAGGATGTACTGGGAAGAGGTGTAGGCGGGGGCGGCGGGACGTTTGTCACTCAGGACGACAACACGCCGCTCATCATCGCAGGTGGCGGAGGTGGTGGGAACCGTCTGTCTTCTAGGAAAGCTACCAGTGACGGAGACAAAAAAGCATCGGGCAATCCCAGCTCTGGTGGGAAGGCAGGGGGTAAAGATGGGGCTGGGGCAGTACAGGGGGGTTCTGATGATGTAGGAGGGGGTGGGGGAGGTCTGCTGACAGATGGGGCGAGTGGTAAAAACAAATTTGGTGGCAAAGACGGTCGGGATGGTGGTGAAGGTGGAAGGGCATTTGTAAATGGAGGTGTAGGTGGGAGGGGGAACCGTAACAACGCAGATGGAGGTTTTGGTGGTGGAGGGGGAGGGTATGGTGGGACTTACGGTGGAGGAGGAGGTGGTGGGGGCTATTCTGGAGGGGGAAGAGGAGAAGATGGTGAAAGTGGTGGGCATTGTGGAGGGGGAGGCGGTTCCTTCAACTCAGGTGGCGAGCCCTCTGGGGAGAAGGGTGCAAATGACGGCCCAGGTTATGTTGTCATTACGTTGACTACAGCTGGGTAGCTATAGATTAGCTCTAATCCAGTGCTAATAAGCAATGATTATGAACAATAACTGGTGACTTGAGCCCCTACCGGAAGATTTTATTCTAACGACCGGTAAGAGCATGTGTAACAAACAAGGACAGAAACAGTTTCTCATTCAACAAACCTGCTGCATTCCAAACATAGCAGATTAAACTGGAAAGCTGTCATACATGTCATTCTACAAATAAATAACAAGACAGTTATGCATAATTAATAGATGTTGGTTGTCTCCCAACATTCTGTATGGTAGATTCAGTGAAAACTTTGATAATAGTTTGCATTCACACAAATCGTTATACACCGAATTCTAAATTTCACAGTCAGAGTCAAAGTAAGATGTCCAGAATGTCAACCTAGTTAAATGTTACTGTCATGTGCTTTTTCTGAAGCGAATGGGGTCTATGACTATGTTTGTTGTACAAGCCTTTAAAAAATATTTCATCACCAGGTTTCCTTATTGACTTTTGTACGTACTTGCCTTATTGCTAGTATAAGTGGACTGCCTTGTCTCTAACTTTAAAGACAATTATGTTTTCTGTACACATTCACATGGATACAAGTGTCTGTACAACAACTGGACTTTAAGATTTGATCACCAAGCTTCTTTACTAATCCTAAGATTTGCTCATGGAGATACAAATATATGAACAGGAAAGAATGTCTAGACCTTAGAACCAGAATTGAAAATGATAAGTTAACTCAACATGTTAAGTTATGCATAAAATTGTATGTATGTTATAAGTTCAATTCTGACATTTGTATCGACACATGTCTATACATAAGTTCATTTGCACCCGCACTTGTTTGTTCGTAGGTATAGCTATAGAAGACCTTATGATAAGTCACTGTACTTTTAAGCTTGTTGTGTCAATAAAGATCCCTCTAAATCCCGAAGAGAAGTATCCTTTCTGCACACATCAACATAGACTGAATGTTTGTGCATCACTGAACTGTAAGATTTGCTCACCAAGTTTCCTTACTAACCACAAGACTTGAATGTGTAGTGTGTACATATATATCTAATTCCTGAAGAGAATGATTCTCTCCGCACACGTCCTACCAGTAAACGTGATGTATAGCCAGACGCCGTCCTCGTCGCTGCCACCTTTTTGGTCACGTTCTTATAAAACATTCACCATTGTTCTGAAAGGAGAAAGAAAGAGAGAGAGAGAGAGAGAAGAAAGAATAAAATGGCTAAAGGCACTACATTGTCTCCTGGAGTACAATCTCCTTAACAATTATGAGTCAGAGAGCTACAACACGATATTGGAGAAAAAGATTTATATCTTGCGGTTGTGCTTTCTCTGACAAGCTACTGTGAAGGCAGTGTTGTTTATCAACTACACGTACAGCGGGGCCGTGCACACTTGAGCTTTGGCCATGGTCTTATAGTAGTGAGTGACATGCAAATATAATTACCCTCACTATGCAACTATGCCTAAACAGAGCACTGCTTAAACAAACAGAGCACTTCTTGGTGACGTGATTCTTGTGAAAGTCAGAATGGCGACCGGGACCACTCTCCTCGGCCAAATTTCGGACGACTTTCTGCAGTGCAAGATCTGCCTAGAGCCTTACCGCCGGCCCAAGGTGCTGTCCTGCCTCCACACGTTCTGCCAGGAGTGTCTTGAAAAGCTGCACAAGCGACAGGGTGAGCCACAACACCTGGAGTGTCCAACATGCCGCGACAAGACGGAACTTCCTGGTTGTGGAGTCAGCATTCTAAAGGACAACTTCTTCGTCGAAAGCCTCAAGGATTGGGTAAAACTCCATCAGACAGCGAAGAAAGCGGACGCCGAGGGGACAAAGTGTGGTCTGTGTGATTCGGGGGAGGAGGCGGTGAAGCTGTACTGTGTGGAATGTAGGGCACTTCTGTGCCAGAGGTGCATAACTGTGCACGGTAGAATCACTGCTAATTCACTGAACTTCGAGCATCAACTCATGACCATGGACCAGGTCCGTTCAGCAACGGGGCTGAAGGCGGTCCAGCCTCGCAACCGGCCGTGTAGGCAGCACTCAGACGAGGCTTTAAAGTTCTACTGTGAGACCTGTGGGGAGGCTGTGTGTAGAGACTGTATCATGGTGGAGCACAAAGATCACTCCTACACCCATCTCGCCAAAGCCGCAGGTGGCATCAAAGAACAGCTATCTGCAGCGCTTGACGAGGCCGACAAGAGACTGACCGAGCTTAAAGACAAGCAAAACGAAATTCTTGGAAAGAAGTCCGTACTGAAAGACACTGTGGCACAAGTCGAAGCCAGCATAAACGAAGCGGCAGAACAGACGCGCCAGCGACTGGTGAACCAGGTAAACGCGGAGCAAAAGGATCTGTTGCAGCAAGTACAGGACATTGAGAAAAAAACTGAGAAACAGTTTAGCACCGTCGAAGACGCCGTGGAGACAGCGATTGTTGGTTTGTCCAACACCAGCGATTTCGGCCGCAAAGTCATCGTCCATGGTACTGATCTGGACATCATCAGTGTGAAGACAGAAGTTCAGTCCCGACTCCAGAGTCTGCTGCAGCTGTCTCCAGACGGGATACGCGCCCCTGAGGGAGAGCCGTGGGTTCGCTATGTAGCCGACTGTGCTAAAACAGACGACTTTGTTCTGCTCGGTGAAGTGACCAAAGGTAGGATCAGTCAAGAACTACGTACGTATCAAAGGTGGCACATGATCAGCCGGAAAGCCACGTACTGAATCGAACGCTTTTCGAACGAGTTTTCTTTGCAGAGCGTATCACTCCGCCGTCCATAGCAACGCCGTTGCTAAGGACGACGTTTTCGCGGGCGGCGGGCTGAAATTTCATCCGAGTTGTTGACAGCCGATTACATCACCAGTTTCGGCCTCTGCGTCAAGATGGCGGTACGTATCAGATGTGTATATCATGTGCTCTCTGTACTAACCATATTTGAGGGGTATTCTATGAGTTTTAGTGTAGTTTTGTGATCAAACTCGGTGTACAGTGAAATGAACAAAATGGCCGCCCTGGACTGATCTGAATTTTCGTCTCATTTGAATTTCGGGGGAAACCCGTTTCGCACTTGATTTTGCATATGACGATATGTGGATAAAATGTGTTGAACCTTTGGCTTTCTCCCATTATGAATATCCTGTTGGTGCGAAGTCTGCATATATTTGCAATTCCATGCCAACTGGGGTCACTTTTTTCTGCAATTTTATGGCTAAACCTCATCGTTTGTCGTTTGACTTTATTTCGGTCAATGTTGAATAATTTGCGTATATGTGCTTCATTTCTTGTAAACATCATGTTAGTGGTAAAATCGTTTCCGGTGAACTAATCTAGTCTAAGTTTAGACCCAGACTCTTAGTCGTTAGATCTTAACGAGGACAGATTGAATTCTAAATACTGTAGTTAATGTTGTACTTGAGTCTGATCGATCACGAACTTTGTAAAAGAAATCATCCCTTCTGTGTGTGTTTGTGCAAAAAATTCCCGCCAACTTTATCACGTGATGTCTAGTTGTCATACAAGAACAACAAAGCTGCATGACTGCTGCAAATTGTTACAATGTCTTGTCATAGTGTCTAAAGTTACAGCAAGACAAGTATTGTACCTTCTATCTAGTGCTCGATGATATTAAAAAAACAGTGCACAATATACATGTTTATATGCAGCTTGTGACATTTGTAAAAATTATAAATGGTTGAGCATGTGTATCATTGATTATTAAAATAAAGCTAACATTCATTTCAGTATTGAATTAGGAAAAAGATGTCAAGGGGAATTTTTATTTCTGTTTCAGATCATCCTAGGCTTCACCGACTGTAAAATTGGTAAGTATCTGGCAAACCATGTCAAACTCTCTCCTGGCATCTTTAAAAAATTAGTGGGAAAATTTAAAGAAAAAGTTCAAGGACAAGGACAAAGTGGGAATGCACTCAGGTTATACAGTCACTTACTTTGATAACAGCCCCACTTGACACTTAACACTAAACAAGTACAACCAATACAACTAAGAATAAAAGAACAAAATGGTGCTAGTGTTGGAGTTTGAGGAAGACCCTAGCCCCTAAAATCTACCTCAGATAGCATTGCACCAGGTTTCTTGTAAGGTTGGAGAAATCTTTTTCGAAAGTAAACCAATACTTCTTGTGGATGCCTGTGATCTTTATGTAGAAATGTTAATGAGTTAAAGAAAAGATTTGAATGTAAAAGTCAAAGTAATGTACTGATTATGACACATTCTACTGTGGTTGGACTTAAATGATTAGGCCACACCAATTTAATTTCTTGGTTAACGGATTTTTCTAGAAAAATTATGGAGCGGGCGGGACGAAAAAAAAAATAAAAATAAAAACAGGCCTAGGCATCGTATTATGGCCCAAAATGGTACGATAGGAACCATGAAGTCAACACACCAGGCAAGTTCAAAATTTAAACAATGAAT